GTTACCTGTATAAAATACACCTGGGAGCCAGAGATCTTGCTGACTGATAGGGGATCAAATACTTATTTCATTCATGAAAATGCAAATTACTTTATAACTTTTTTTGTAATGCATTTTTCTGGATTTTTTCGTTATTGTTATGTCTCTCACTGTTCAAATAAACCTACCATTGAAATTGTAGACTGATCATTTCTTTGTTAGTGGGCAAACTTACAAAATCAGCTGGGGTTCAAATCATTTTTTCCCTGACTGTATATACTGGAGTATATCTTTTTTTTTAAAGTATCCTCTGAAGAGAAGTAGTCCTGTTTTTATTTTATTTTTTTTGCCTTCATTCATAATCCACTCACCAGCTCAGCATGCTTCTTAATGATGGCCTCCAGTTTCTGTTCCGGAGTGTCCAGTTTGTTCAGACTTTGCATCAGCTGCATGGCTTCCTTCCCTAAACAGCCACAGAGAATTTGAAGTTAAACATCACCTGTAAGTGATTATCCTAGAACCCGAGGTGAATCTGATTTATCGCACATATTTACGGTATATGTTAATCTAAAGGTATTTTGGAATCTCTTTCTCGGACTACAAGAAGTCTGTCCCCCACACTGTAAATTAATAATTTTGGTGCCTGAGTCAACAGAAGCAAACTCTAAAAGACAAGTAGAAATAGTGTTTTACCTGCACTTCTGTTGCAGAAGTTTGCATTTATACTCATTAAGGCTCTGCTTACACACCTATCAGTTTCAGTACATCTTTCGCTGACTTAGCTGAATGAAACCTACCTCGGCTAAAATCAATACAATATTTTGAAAACAAAATACCTAGGTTTTTGAGCATCTTCTTCTCCAGTTTCTGGTCCTTGTGGGTGTCTGCTTCTTTGACAACTGTGACCTCCTCTGTGTCCTCTGGCTCAGCGGGAATCTCGATGGCCTGGTAAGTGCTAATGATGTCCTCCAGCTGCTGGCCCAGGTCCTCTGTCAGGTCAATGTGCTCACCCTCAGCTAGCGCCACCTCAGTACCAGAGGGTGCAGGACTTCTCTCCTGACAAGCTTCCATTTTCTGAGGTAGAACTGAAAGGGAAGGAGTTGGTTTCTGTGAGCAACTCGAGGAATAAAAGTGATATGTAATCTCATCCTAGCATCCTAAGGATTAGTCTTTTATGATATATTCTGTCATGTTAATACAGTTTAGCTCCATTCTGAAAGACTTCCCTTTCTGAATAACAATTTCCTGGCTGTATTGTGCAATATCTTTCTTGATTTTCAGTATGAATGCATCCAAGTCTGGTCAACCAGACTCGTTACCGTATCATTGCTTTGTGAATGTAGGGTTTAACTGAACGTACACTGTTTAATAGAATTTCAGGCTTTAAGAAAAGGAAAGCGAAGGCCTTGAGGCAAATTTATGAATTGGCTTATTGGGCTGTACAAACTGACCTGTCATGTTCCAGTAAGTCATGACAGTGCAACAGTGGCCCAGCATACACAATACTATGACCCTGAGACCAAAGCAGTTAAATGGAATTCAGCCAGTGATGATATTATTTACACCTGCACTTTTATTACTCTGACAGTGACAAGGACCTATAGAGCCAGACTGAGAGGTTAGCCAGTATATATAAAGTTAATTGGTATCTCTTTTGATGGGTCATTTTTTTAATGCAAAAATGCTGGTTCCACTTCCTCAAATGTGAGCATATGACAATAAAACATCTTTGGGTTTTGGACCATTTGTTTGACAAAACAAGGCATTTGAGTTCATGTTGGCCTTTGGGATTTTATAGGAAGTGTTTTTTTGTTTTTTTTTAGATGAAATAGTTAATTGAGAATGTAATTAGAATATTAATCAGATGAAAATGAATAATAAAAATAACTGTTAGCTGCAACCCTGTTTCACATATCTCATTAGCACTTTGGTACTGCAATCTCTTATTTATCTTGACATTCAAAGTGGCAAAAATGTTTGCAGTAGTTCTAATATAATCAGCAAGATCTCAGTGAGGATTTTTTAGTATAATTGCCCATCTTACAGACAGTGCAGTGTTTTCTTGGTTTTGATAACACTTTACACTTGATTTTTAAAATGTAAATTTAGGAAAATTGTTGCCTTGTTTGTTTGCTTTGAAAAAATTTTCAACCCCTTCCACTGTAAATGATGGCAAAGTGTTTTGTACCACAGTGATTGAAAGTAAGAGGTGTAGTGCCGCACTGCTTGTTTGTGGCTGTCTTGTGTTGTGCAGACTCTCAGACAGAGCCTGTTTACGTGCATAAATTTAGTGCAGCCTTCACGCTGCCTGTGCTTTCACAAGCAGAGCACATGGCACCTGTTCCAGTCCTCACATGCTATTTAAAGAACTTCTTAATATGGGCAAGTTATTTATTTATTTCTTATCCACTCTTATTGATGTCAGTGGTTGCATGTACGAAAGCTGCATTTTCCAACAAGTAAAACATCAATGTTACATAACTGACCCCATCTAAATTTAATATTTTTAATTGAGGCACATGTCCAAATGGAAATTCAACTACAAATAAATGGTTGTATTAGAAGATGTGATAAACTCTTTCAATGTCAAAACGTGCAAATGTGGTGATGCACAAAGAGAACATTTTATAAATAAAAATGTTCTCCCTCCCCCCAAATTAATCTTCTTCCACTCTCTGAACAAATGATACCGGCAAGTCTCAATGTGTGTAATACCTCTGGTCTTCAACAAACTTTGCAAGCTTCAGGTAACCATTAAATGCAAACATGTATATGCTTCTAAGAATAAATATATCATAAATAAAGCAAAGTTATTTTCATGAAATTTAAGTGTAAATGTTTTTGAAGAAGCAGGGTAATAAGTAAAGAGAGTCTTACCAGGACCAAGGGCCAGAAGGGGAAAAGAGTGTCGAGCGGCTCGAAGAGGCTGCCACCACAGATACAACAGCTGTGATAAGACCACCTCAAAATAAACCAGAGGAGCACAACTCACTTTGGTCTGAGAGTGGGAGGACAGAGACACAGAGTGTCTGTCTGTCCAGGACCCACACTGGTAAAAGAAACAATCCATAGACCTCGGATTGTTTGCTTAGAGTTTGACCTACAGTAGTGCGAAAACAAAGTATATAATTTCGATCAAAACACTTCATCTTTTAAGGGGTTTTTTCTTAAAATCTTATGTATCCATTTCTTGCAATGCCACTGCTGCTTTAAACCAGTGAGGTGCTAATTTTATTTTAAGCTGGGATGCTGTTAACAGCCATATAATTATTCTAACAAATGGGCCTGACAGGCCTAGTCACTAAGCAGGAAAGGAAAAAATGAACTGTCTCCCTGATTGGCCAGAATTAGAACAGACCTCTTCCCCAGCTCAGAACCAGAATAATATGCTGTAAGATCACATCATTTCCTCACTTAATATATGCTTAACACGTGCAGCATTTACTTACAATGCAATACACTGCTGCTGATATACACTGGAGATTATGTAGTTATGCTGAATTTCTTGCAACTTGGAAATGGTTGAATAGTATCCATGAGGTAAGAACTATTTTTGGAAGCAATCGTTTATTTTCCTTGTTCTGTATTATGACTGCAGTAATAACTTTTCACCAGAGGATGTCACTGGTTGGAATCTCTCCACTTTTTCTGGAGAGTTTTTTTTTTCTGCACTCCCCTTGAAGATAAAATGTGGATGATTAAATCTAAAAACTCTTTCTTGTGTGCTCTGTAGTGAATTATGCCGAAGGAAAGGTATAGAAGCCATTGAAAACAAGAAACAAGCTGCAACACACGTCTTTGGGTTAGAAGTATATTCTTTTAAAACAATTTTGAATTTAATCTGAAAAAGTAGAGCACCAAACAATAAATTCCCCATACCATAAAAGAGGCACTCCATCCTGACAGGCCAGTTTTGATGCAGATAGCTGAGCAGATTGGCTACTGAGGTTTATCCCTTGAAAAATCTTAGCTGAGAGGTAAATGATCTGTCCTCTGTTTGTTTTACAGGGAATTTTGTAGACATGAGAGGCACAATGCAGTTCAGTAAATATGAATGCACAATAAAAACAAAACACAAACACAATCTGAATGCATACTGTATGCAAAAGCAAATAAAAGGCGTCACTTTCCCGTCACATTTTATGAGCATTCTGCACCATTATCACGACAAATAAATTACACGACCATGAAATCAAAGCTACAGAAAGGAAAACACAAAATTAAAGCAGTGCACCTTTAAATGTTTTTCATGTAAACATGCTTGAACATAGTGTTTTCTGATTGTGAAATCCGTTCTCAAACTGGTAACCACTTTTTTTTTTTAAAGATGAGACACATGGTGTTCGCAATCAACACTATGCTATTTTCGCCCTCATTAAACCTTTATGTCAACTGAAGACATTTTTTCCTCTTCAAAAGATATAAACAATCCACATAAAAAGTTTTCAGAATTCAACACTGCAAAAATAGTTTAAATCATAAAAATACACATATATATATATAGATATATACAAAAAAGAAGTAATGCATTTGGTGAGTGATTACTTACATTTTGAGCTGAAGCACAGTAATAGTCAACCAACTCACTCTGTTAGCATCATTACTTTAATATTACTTATAGTAAGTAATATTGATTTATTCAGTTACACTTGAAATGCAGGAAAATGTACTACTGACAGATCATCATAGCCCCTTGAGTTTGTGTGCAGTTTCTTCACACAATGAGAAATGTGAAAAACAACTGGAATGTTTCAAAACCACAAGAGAACATAACATGCTTTACTTCCCCATTTCCACAGACGGAGTCAGTTAAACATCAAAGATGAAAGTGCATCATCAAAACTCATAAATGCGTATGGTCATCTGTATAAGAGAGAAAAATTCGGTTTAATCAGAGCAAAGACATAAGATCAAAAGCAATGCCAGCGTGGCTCACTGCATAACTGCATCACTGCTGCATAAGTACAGATATACCATATAAATAGTAGTCAAATATTTACCAGTATCAATAAGTGCTTATGTTCTAATATATAAATACATCTTACAGTATTCATAATTACATATTAACTTCCTCTATTTTTGTGCAATAGCAAATCCCATGCATTTTTACCAAGATAAAAACCACAACGTTAAGAAAAATGCGACTAATATTTTTTAAGATTGTTTCACATAAATCAAGCTGTATTCATCTGTCAGCAGGATTGACAGAACAAAAAAACAAAAAGCTTTCCTGGAGCAAGCTCTCCGGCAGCGCCAACACTTCAGAATAAATATATTATTCAACAACAACCTTCTGATAACAAACCGAAGAAAAGCAAAATAAAGGCACAAACCCTTGCCGCTTGATTAAAAGCACCAAACTGCACAAGAAGCATCTATTTAAAATTTGGTCAGACTGTTTCATAATACACATACCTTTCCCCTTATAAATAGTCTTTATGTACTTCACTACTGCATCACACTTTGATATGCTTACATTAAACAAGTTTATTTCAAAGTACACATACAGTAAAATACACTGTTTGTATGCATCTAAGAAGGAGTATATATTAAGGACATTTGTACAGAATCCATAAATATAGTTTATGTGCAATTGTACGCAAACTACTATGTCAAACAAAGGCATATTAGCATAATATCATCCATATTGCACCTGTACCCAATAATGATTCTCCCCCTTGCTGTGTGTCCAGTCATTTCAGAATCTCTGAAGAGAAGAGCACATCAGACAGAACAGGTTTCTTCTTCACTGTGAAGGTTTGATCTCCACTCAGATTTTAAAGGAGCTGTCTAGGGTATGTGCTAGACCAGATGAAGTGTTACTATATTGCCTTTAATGGAATAAAGATGAGGTTATGAGCCTAAAGGGTTGCAGGCAGAGTAGAAGAGCATCTGTTTCTGGACCAGATCAAGGAAACAGAAAAGGGGGCCTTAATGAGGGTCTTCTGTGGTAATCTTCAGTGAGGCGATGGCTTTCAAGCAGGTCTGGACATTCTCCTCCTGTCTGCTGTCCCCAACACTGGAACTGAGGCTTTTCTCCTGAGTGGCCTGATGGGAGGACAGCTGGTTCTGGCTTCTGATATCCTCTCCTCCCATCTGGGGCCCATGGACAGATCCCTCCCTGCTTCTGCAGTGCTGACCCTCACTGCTCTGTGAGCTCAGTGCTGAAGAGGGGATAACATCAGTGCTCAAGGAAGGCAGGGAGTGTAACATTTGGAGCCCTCCAATGGGAACAACAGGGAGCAAGCTGTGGACCTGCTGCTGAGAGTGAAGAGGGAGGTGGCTGAGGACGTTCTGGTGATGAGAACCGGCAGCACCAGGCAAAGTAGAAGCCAAGCTGCTCCTTTGATCCTGAAATGACACATTGGCAGTGTTACGAGCAGTTTTGCAGAAATGTGAGAAACACAACATTATTAAAGCCATTTTCCTTTCAGTTGCTAGAGGGTCGGTCCAGTGATTCAAAACAAACTGCTCCTAACTGCATTTTACCCCTCCCATTACTTTCTGTTTCAGTCTGGCAGCCATAGTTTCAGACTTGTAGCTGCCTACAGCTCTTCTATGGCTGGCTGAAATGACTACTCATGGTTCAAAATCACTTCTTATAACCTTTGCTAGGTGGCACACGGGTCTAATTTACAGACCGTACTTTGACAACACAGGGTTGGTAAGATGGAATAATAACAGAAGAGCTGTAGGCAGCAGAGTGTCGTGGAGGAGGGGCAGAATAGCTAAGAGACACTACGTCCTGTATGTCCTGTCTTTGCTGTATCATTTGATTTATCAGACAATGTGTAAAATATTAATGTACCTTTAAATTAAAAAACAAAAATTAGCACTTGAAGAACATACAGTAAGACCCCTCCAACCACCATAGTCCATTAAAGGATAAGGCTTGAAAAGACCTAAACCAACGATCAGTAGTACATCACTTCACAATTTCCCTACCCTGTCTGTGGCAATTAGCTCCAAGCCCATTTGTTCCAGCTGAAGATGTAGCTCTTAAAAAATGGGTCGTGAATACTGTATATACTTCCATTTTTTAAAAAAGGCTAATAAACTTTACAAAACAGCTGGACTTTTTGAATTACCTTGCTGAATTCAAGGATACTTTGTGAAAGAAGTTTGGTACTGCTTTATTGAAAAGTGGGTTTAGGACGCATCATGCTACATACCATTTCCATTTCAAAGCTTCCTTGTTGTTGAGTCATCTCCATCTTTGGCTGGAGTCTTGTTTTGTCACTGCTGCCTTTATGTTGGTGCGAGCCTCTACGTGGTGAAATGGCTCTCAACACAACTCTCTGCCGGCCCCGGACCGAGGGTTCTCGCTTTCCAGCCAGCTCTAATCCAGGAGACATAGGTCGTTCAATTGAGACTGGGGAGAGGTGCTGAATGGGAGTGAAGCTAGGTGAGCCAGGTCTCAGTGGGGAGGTATCCCATCTGGGAGAGGAGCGACCTCGTGGAGAAATCTCTCGCCTTGGGGATGGGTAACGCAGGCGTGAAGGGGAGGTCTCCCTTATGGGAGACTCCCATCCAGGAGACAGCAGACAAGAGGAGTAAGGATCGAAGAGGAAGCTGGCCTGGTCTGGTGACAACATGGTCAGAGAATCTTCATCCACAGATTTTTCTCTCTGGTCATTTGTGAGGACAGGTCGCTGGTTTGAGCACATCCGCCTGCCAGAGGACTGCTGACGGATGTTGGTGCCAGGTAAAGACATGAGGGTGCAGCCATGGATGGCGGTGGTGGCTGTAACTGACACAGAAGTAACTCCACATGGCTGAGGACTTGTACTTCTTGAATGCAGCTTTGGAGTGGAGTCTCCCTCATATTCATCGTCCTCATCATCTTCTTCATCAATTTCGTCAACTTCTTCATCCATGCCATCAGAGTCCTCTGCGTCTGAGAACTGGTGTTTGGCTGTCACTGACACCTCTGTCTTGGACTCTTGTTGGATGTCGTCTACTGTAAAACACAAAGGAGGCAATTTAGTTTGAGTTATGTTGATATAATTCAGACATTTGCAAGAATATTATTTTCAAGTTTGTGATTTTACCAAAAACGGTCATCAGGAGCAGAACAAAACTTTCCCACTGATTCCTGAGTTTCCAGATTACTCCCTAGGACCCCATATGAACATTTGGCATCATGCAAGGATTTGAAACATCTAATTGACAGTAAAACCCCTTTATAGGTTTTAAAGTAAAACTGGACATGTCAGAAAGCTGCCACCATGTCTCCTCTCACATCCACTCTTGCATTAATAGTGAATATACCAGTGTCTTACCATGTTCCTGAATCTCTGTCTCATCCATCGTTACCGACACTCCTAGTTCAAGACATTTCTTCATGTGTGCCTTTGACTTCATATGTTTAGTTAGGTTTCCTGTAGAAGGATAAAACAAGTAACAGGTCAGGCTTGAAGTTTTTGGTTACCATTTTTCACTTAAAATACCTGCATTTGTTTTTCAAGAAGATAAGTGTTCACGTTAATTTTATATAAGCTTGTGTTCCCTATTACAAGAGGGCACTGATCACCATTAATAAATGGAGGCCCAGCTCTGAAGGTTCTTTCAGTAATAGAAAGTGGAGAAATGAGGCAACTGAGCTGCTAATTTTGCCAACCTTTAGTTTTAAAAGCAAAGTTGCAGACCCTGCAGATGTATGGTCTCACATCTGTATGGGTCCGGATGTGTTTTTTCAGCATGCTCGGCTTCTTACAGCGAATGCCACACTCCTCACAAATGTATTTTCCCCGGCCTCGACCTCGGACATATACATAATCTTCATTGGACTTGTACCTGAAACATGCATACAGTCAATTTTTTAATAAAGAATTAAAACATTAAGCAGACTTGAAAAGGAAGCAAAATCCTTAGGTGGTGCATGTTCTGTCATGCTGCTGTTTGTTGCCAGTATTATTATTATGATAAATAATATGACTGACCCTCCCTCAAAGATCTTTATGCGTGTTGGCACAGTCTGGGTTGTGGAAGCCTCTCTCTCTTTCCACTCCTCCTTGGCAGTTTTCACTCTGCAGCTGTCTTTCACCCTCTTCCCGTAGGTAATGTCCACCTCTCTGGGCTCCGGTTTCCTCTGCAGCTGAATCAAACGAACGAACGTTTTGTTAACATCCATTCTAAGTGGACATTGTATCGACAAAGCAACATGATGCTTTCAGTATTGTGTGTCACACTTTGGTGTTACACAGCAGGTTTTGCAAACATGAATTATGCTGCTGCTGAGGAAAAACCTAGTACAAGTTATTAAGATTTTGTTATTTTTGAAATGCTAAGCACATTATTTTCTTTGTAATAATATATCAATGTTATCACGCTACATCCGATTGAGACTAAGACTTTAAAGTCATATGATATACATCTGAATTTTCGACTTTTTTTTTTTTTGTAAATTCAGAGCAAATGACAAATCAAAGTTCATTATGCCAAAATATGAATAATAAGGCCCTTCAAACCTCACTCCTTTAAAATGGTTATCTCTTGCTGACATTAGGTCTAGGCAGCTTTCTACCTTGATAGTGTGAGGTGGAATGTTGCCCAGTGCAACTTGTAAGCATTTGCTTTATAACTAGATTTCCTTTTTTGGAAAAGGGGGTATTAGCAAGACCAGTGAAGTATGTCATAAATAGGGCTTTATTCTTAAAGTTTAAAAAAAAGTTGTGTTGCTTTAGAAACATTGCAGCGATGGGATTATTTTCTCACCTGTTCCATGGTCTGCCTCCACAGTATGAGGGATGAAACCAGCTTCCCAGTGCCAGGCTGACACATGGCAGCCACAGTGTATATAACCTTGTCTCCCCTCTGTTTGGACCGCAATAGAGCCAGAGCAGCACCGGTGCTCAGTTCAAGAGGGTTGGGGTTGTGGGAACTCACACACCAGGTGGCGTACACAGAGGAGAAAGGGGCGTTACTGTGAGAGCAGCTCGGCTTGGTGTAGTTGAGATAACACCAGCTCACACCTGTCGTCGTGCGAAGACTTGGAAACTGAGATAACAGTCTTGAATGCTCGGCGTCTGAGATCAGGACGTCTTGACTGGTAACCAGCTGTGCCACCATATCCATCTGCACTTGTTTCTCCGTGCCAACTTGTGTCACTTCGCTGATGGATATCATGGAGTATGGAGGCGAGCTGGTTTCCAGGGAGCTACTTTCCATAGCTGACTCAACGCTGTGGTCATTGGCCTCTGCCACTTTTTGCTGAAGTGTAATAAATTTATTCCTACGGGAGTCATCCTGAGCATGAGGTGTGGATGAACCCTGCATCTCTGACCTGTGCCCCTTCTCTTCACTCAAATTACAGTTTCCTAACTCCACAGCACTCAGCTCCTCTACAATCTGTCCAAACATTCTTTCCTCTTTCACACGTTTTTGCTGCTTGACCTCTATGAACAGGTCCAGACTGCTGGCAGGGGAAAGCATTCTTTTGTTTGTGCCACCACTGGAGGCGTTAGTAGTTGAGATAGTTCTAGAAGTCAGAGAGAGAGGGATGCCTGTTTTGAGTTTAGCTGATGACAAATCGAGGGCTTCAACACTGAGGGTATGTGTCAAGGGTGGTCTGGTATAAGCTAGTACATTATGAGAGGTGAAATTTCCAGACATACACAAAGTCTGATTCCGAGAGGTGGTTGTAGTGGAGCTAATACAGTCATAATGATCGTCAAAAATCTGTGATACTGAGGTGTATGTGAGACTGCCATATGATGGCACATGAGTCTGTATTCTTACAGGGACCAACAGGCTGGGATGTGACAACTGGGGGAATGTATTCCCAGTGGAAAATATTGGCAAAGTGTAGGGCAGAACAGCAACTCCTGTGAATGGAGAGGAGGTGCTGCTGAGGTATTGCGGAAACACTTGTGATGGGACTTGTGGTACTTCAGTTTCCATATTCAGTGACTCCTGTCGTACCAAGTTTCCCCTTCTTCTCTCCTTCACAGCAGAGTGGCCAACGCTGTCCACGTGTCTAACTTTGGATGTTGGAGAAAGACTGCCATAGTCAAATGATATGCTGCGAACCTCTGGGAGCTCCTTGCGCAAGTTACATGGCGCCTGCTCTGAGGAGGAGCGTCTCATTTCATGTTGTTGACGCTGGTTCAGCACAGAGAGGGAGTGCCCACTCCCTGGCACAGCTAAGAGCTCTAGTGATTTGCCAAATTCATCTTGCCTGGCTGGAGAGACTGACTTCAAGCTGTCCTCCCTGTCAAATGAGAAAGTAGAGCTATAAGATAAGTTACTGTCTTGGCTCGGACTGCGGGAGAGACTGGTGCACGCAGACTCGAAACTGGATTCACCAGAGGAGTGCTCAATATCAGCTAACCGTAACCTTTTCTTTTTTGGAGGCAACTTTTCTGGAGGGAATTGTGCTAAAGTTTCACTCCTTTGAGGCCACTGAAACTCCTCCATGTGCTTCTCTGGCTCCTTCACCTGCACCTCTGGAGCTTTTTCTGGACTGTCGGGCTCTACCGTGACCCTAATCTCTGGGACTTGTATGTTGGGCTGCCGCACAAGTTTGGGGCCCAATTGAAATAACTGCCCTAGTTTACTATCACTACTTTCCATCTCATATGATTCACATGCCTCCATAGCTTGAAATGAAGATACACCTTCCTGTCTCTGCCCATGATAATTGTAGGATTCAGACTGTTCAGTGTGAGGCCTGTTTATTGAGTTTGTGTGCTGAATAACTGAAATTACATTTCCTAGGGTTTTTCGAGCAGAAATTTCAGGGGTCATTGATATGTCCATGTCACACCTATCCATCTGTGTTAGCATACTCAAAGAATGTCCTTTCCCTAATGCCATAATGCCCACTGCAGCTTGTTTTGAGTCATAGTCTTTGCCTGAATCAAACATTTCTTCACACTGTTCACCATGGCTCTCATACTGATTGGGCAAGTCGTCCTCTTCTCTTTTCTCTTTCCGACGTTTCCGTGTTGCCAATTCCATGACATGTCGCTGATGGCTCATATTAGATGCCACAGATGGGTAATTGTCCATTTCCAATCCTGAGGATGAGATGCCACCTTCACTCATCTTTCCATGGCTGTCAGTATCTCCATGGCCATCGTGCGCAGAAAGTTCAAAAGCAGCTTGCCGCCTGAGTCTCCTCATGCCCCCAGTGCTTGTTCTCTCATCAAATGAGTGGCTGCCTCTGAGGGCCTGAGGCATAGTCAGACACACTGCTGAGGATGTTGGCATCGAGTTGCTTCTGATCAGAGGCCCCACATCAGAGCCAGTGTCTAACTGGGGTTCTTTTGCCTCCTCTCTCGTGAATGTCTTTGTGTTTATTTTGATTGACTCAACAGTGTCTTTTTCCTGGGTGAAAACGCGGGAGACACCTTTTTCTGTGCGTTTCCCAATATATTCACTTGAGTCTGTGCTGCAGGTCATGAAAGTTGTTGTCTGTTTAGGGCTTGGCCTGTAACACTTTCCAAACATAATTTCTTGATAGGATTTTGCATTGGTATTTGGAGGACCAGTCTGATGCTCGGCACTCTCGGAGCGTGAGAAGTAGCCAGAGTCCGTGCTGCCCTTGCTAGACTGACTTGGGAGGGACAGATTGTGGTCAGAGTCACTGCTTCTTTTTTCAGAGAGCCTTAGTGCAAGCCTCTGTTTGATTGTGCAAGATTGAATTGCATGGCTAGCCTCGGCAGCGGCAGGAGGTGCATTGATTTCTTGGAGCTGGGATGAACCATCCTGAGCTGTCACTGATGTGGCTCCCTTTTTCTGAGCAACAAGATTTAGTACTTTTACAGCAGTGTTATCTGATCCCTCCACTGGAGAGTCCAGCAGCAGGAGCGGGTCATTAAGAGTGTCCTCGTCCGTGTCCGTGCTTTGCTCAGCATCAGAGAATAACTCTCCTTCCCCTTCAAAAGACCCCTGGTCTGTATTGGCATTGTAAGAACCAAGCTCTGAGAATGGCACTGTTCCAGCTTTGACTGAGTGAGCGTGGGACTTTCTGTGTTTGTATAAATTACTTTTGGTTTTGAAGGAGAATCCGCAGGGAACACATGGATAGGGCCGTTCCCCAGTGTGTGAGCGAATATGTTTTTTAAGCACACTGGGTTTGGCACATGCCCTTCCGCAGTAATCGCAAACATACTTTCCAGGCTTTTGTGGTTTCTGTTCCACCTTACTCACAGTCACTGACAGCTGATCCATGCTTAAATGGGAACACTGTTGGTGGACTTTAGGTGAACTGGGGGACTTCCTATGAGATACAGGCCCTGGAGACTGTGTGTCAGACATTTCTTTGCAACCACCTTGACCTTCCTGCAGTTGTTTGTGCCGCCCCTTGCCTTCCAGTTCAACTGATGGACTCCTCCTTGTCTGTGTGGCTTCTGAAGTAGATTTTCTTTGTGCAACATTTTTGTCCTGACCTTCTGTGGAGCTTTTCACTCCTGCAGTAGTTTCAAGTGACTCCATGAATCTAATGTCAATTTGTGATTGATTTTCAAGGCTAATATCTGTTATGTAACTGTAGTGATATTAACATTCATGTGAATTGATTGTAGGGAGGGGTCATCTGGAAAAAAACAAGAGAAATGACAATTAACAACTCAAATATGCAAGATGAACGGCACTGTAAACACATAAAGATGCATAAATCAGAAGAATGTTATACTCTCAACAATCGATTTCACTGTAAAATCTAGCTTCAAGTTTGCTTCTTGAGCTCAAGAGCTATTCAAGGATGCTTCCCAAAAGTCTTTCTAACTAAATTGGAGTAAAAGCAGGAGTGGCAACCTCTAAAAAAAACAGAGGTACTTCATATCAATCCTGGCATATGCCCCAAATTTGCTGAAGCCCTGTGGATGTACTGTACCTAGATGAGTGTAGGTATTCAGGGTACCTGCCAATGGTGTACTATGTGTGTCATGAATCTAATCCTTTGTCACAGTTCCATGTTCTTTCAAGAAGCTTCATCAATCTCAAAGGCCAGTCCTTTTCCTGAAGTGTCACTTTATTAGAATATTAAACTTGACAGTGTAATAGCCACAATACACCAGCTACTGTAGGTACTTTTACTTTGCTCTTTATCCCAGGTTTAACTTTTTACTTCTTCAAAAACTTTTTTGTCAACATTGTAGTGTATTAGAAAAAAATCTAAACTTTACTGGAGGTGCCAAAAATAGTGAAAATGATCTACCTAAATAAAATAGTTAAAATTCAGCAGAAGATGAGAGGCACAGTTTTGGAAAAACACCAAGGTATTGGTGTTAGACTGTGGGAAATTAAGTGTGACAAGTCTACCTACCCTTTTTATTTAATACCTACATAAAATACCAAAATATTCTCCCTTTATATCCGCTACTGTTGCATCTGGTGTTGGTATCATATAAGTTTAGGTTCTTTACCTCTTGTGAAATTCAAACCCTTTAACCTGTTTCAGTTACTGTCCTCATCTCCACAATGAGCTGCACAGGACCACATATTGTACTACAAATAAACATGCCAGACTCCAACAAGAAACATCTTTATCATCTTTGTGGTTAAAGTGAATTGGCTTTGCCACTACGCTTTCATCTCATACCGTGGGGATGGGTCTCTGAGGGCACGTCATTTCCATCTTCTCAGTATCAAATGCTGTCCTCCCTAACGAGGTTACGTAAGATTATCTGGTTCAAACCCTCAGAGTTCCCCTTAATTAGGACATCCTCTGACTCTCATTCTCCTTCTCTCACTCCCTCTCTTTCTTTGTTAGCATGCCAGACACTCCTCCAGCATAAACCAGTGGATATGAATCCAAGGTGACTCCCGAGATGCCGAGATTTGCTTGAAAGCAGCTGTGAGGACGATAATCTCCTCTTGGTAATTTTTTTTAACTAATGCCCATTCCCTCTTTTGGCTGTTGATTGTTCAGTAGCTCTGCTTTCAGGCAGATTTGAGGGCTTCATCCAGAGCAGGGTAGAGAGAAAAAGGCATACTGTATGAAGGATGGTGGTGGTGGTGGGGGCTCGGATTGGAACAATCCATGTTTCTATGGGGAGGTTTACAGAGGTACTCTAAGTGGGGTGCCTGGGGCTAAAAAAATTCACAGGCCTGGTAGGGAGCTCCCCTTCAAGGTCGGTCTGACCTCATTGCTTAGTTTTCATCCTCTGTGAGCTACGAGGGGAGCAAAGGGGAAAATAGGTGCAGAGTGACAGTGAGATAAGACCCTCAGAAACAGTGCATACCTTTGAACTAAGGCCAATAGAGAGGAACAGAGCCGACATATTCAGTCTCATTGATAAGTCTCCCCGTAGATTCACACTTTTTGTATGAAGACTAGCAGCAGACCTTTCACTGTAAATTTGTCTTGCTCTGGGCAACAAGCCCTAACCTATACGAAAATATATGACACAGCAGCAATGACGTACAACAACAGGAGGCAGGTGGGTGGCAGTAGGTGTGCTTCAAAATGACTGTGGGCTGAGTGTGGTACAGTATGTCCGCATGGATGGAGAAATGACTTCATAGAGACATTTGTTTGAGCAGCAGACATTCATGGGCCCCATCCCTTACTGCTTTCAACATACGAGGGGCAATGAGCAAACACATGCTGGCTATGGAGAGCATTGTTATGCTGCTGCATTCCATCATTAGAAGCTAAGTTGGTCATTAAAGGGAACAGGCATGAAGCCTCATGCTGACAACAAATCCATATATATCATAAGGAGATGACCAGCTTCAAAGAGGCTGAATGCTAAAACCCTGTGTGGTACACTAACAGCAGCACAGCAGCACATATCATGCAGAATAAATCAACAGTTCTCACTGTGATCAGAATGACATAAAGCGCATGGGGGAAAAAGCCCCGGCTCGTGCAGCAGCTGACATTCCGATATCAAATATAATCCTCATACAGACCTGACATTTGAATAGTCCCCTGTCCCATATCGACAGTCACATGTGACATTCCTCGTCCTGCATGGTCCTTTTCTCCATTCTCCTCATGTCTGACTAACAATAATGAAATAAATTAGAAAGGTAAAGTCCCATCAGTCACGAAGCTGCTGGCTGACTGGGTGTACATTAGAAGATCTATTGATGCGAGCTAGTCACCAGAGAAAATACCCAACCATGACGTGCGGACCCAGGCACAAAAATAGCAAAGGGGCCCAGGGAGGGATTACACAACAGCCCACGTTTAAGGACGCTTTTCCTCTCTCGCACTGTGTTTCAAAGCACAGCAGCAGCTGCCTCGCTCTACACACAAAGTGGGGAGTTGGATATCATGATGGGAAGAGCAAAGCATCACCTTTCTAGATAGCCGCAGTCCATTCATCCACATATTCAGTCATTTTAGTTTAGTTTGAAATGATGCGATCTGTATGATCAGGTATACATATTAATTAGCTGTTAAGTATCTATATAAATCCTTTGGACAGAGCATGTGAATATATGCAGAGCAGAAGAGAAATGTAGAAGTGGCAAGTGCTTTGAAAGGCTAATCACATGGTGCAGCAGCTCTGAATGTACATTTCCTACAGCGTGATCCTATTCAGTATGTATATTGAGAGGAGCTCAATGAAAAGACAGCATGTGGCTGGCTGTGAGGATGCTGCAAAAATTAGACATAATCTCCAAATTGTGAGACACCCACAGCCTGTTCAGAGCCAGTTCTTCCCGTCACGACAGGATTTGCTTTGTGAATGGAGAGAGTCGTGATGAGGGTGTCATTAACACAGCAAAACACCAGGACAATACTGCAGATTATGTGCAGCTGCAAACCTCATCCTGTGAATCAGATGTATGAGTTCAGTGTTGCATGGTGCTATTACAGCCTCTACATTAACGCAACAACTTAAAATCTAAATACTTCCTCTGACAATTTCACTAAGTTAAAGTGTTGCTTGTTGTTGTGATTGTTGACAGTATTCTCTCGAGCCCACAGGCTGCATTGTCATAGCCTGTATTTATAACTGGACATTATAACACTCATTGGGACAGGGGCTTAATTAGTACATTTACTTAACTAAAAAATGTGTTTTTTATAATACTGCTACTCTAGGTACATTTACAAATCTGAAGTACTGTGTTGGACTGTTTCCATTTACACTTTCTCCACCACATTTTATAGGTTTTACTTTTTACTCCACTACGTTTCTAATTGGTACCGTTATTCTGAAAATATATACAGATTTTGACATGCAAAACTTTACACGTGCGCTTTGATCAAACTACTATAGATTGTTATAGGTTAAATGAAACTGTGTGCCTGATGATCACCTGGAATAGATGCAGGTAGAACATAAGACAAACCACTGAATTTGACCTGAGTGAGGGTTGGGTACAGCTACAGCAGGTGATCAACTGCCTCCCCTGTCAAAATACATACAAGCAACGAGACTTTTCCCCTGATTTTGATTGGATTTATGTTCACTGTGTCATTTGTGTGAAACATTGGCCATTCAGCACAATATAATTTACACAACTATACATACTAAACCCGCTTTAACCATGAAATTGGGTGAGAACAACTGGGTGCCTCTATGAATAGGTCCTTGGTCTGGGCTTGCACCAACTGCTTTCTATGGCTAAGGCATATTTAACAGAGGTCTTCCTCATAACATAAAGTTTACACAGCAGAACCGAGGCTTTAAACTTATGACAGCTGACAACTGAACTTCACCTCCAAGTTAAAAATCCTATCCAAATGCCAAGCTTTTATTTCCTGCAAAGCAAAACTGTCATTTCACAGTGGATTTCCTTTGGAAAACTTGCCATGAATGTGGAGAGAGCGTACTGACAGAGCTCCTCCACAGTATGGAATTGCAGAGAGCTATTATTAGATGCAGCCTCTAACAAGGCAAAGATGAAGTTGAAGCTAACTAACTGCAGTGCAGCTCAAATCCATTATGCTGTATTCAGTATCTAGAGAAGTAGCACTAAAATGGCTGATACTCAATGTGCAGTGAAGGTCAAGATGCCTATCTATAAATATAATGGTTTGTCCCCCAGGATGTTCCATGCTGCCTGGCATTTCCCCTAACTAAAGCTACACTGCAGCTCTGCTGACTGGCTCAAATCTGCCACAAATTTGCATGTGATTGAATCCTGCAAATCCGCCGGACTACTAGCGGGCCTCTAATGATATTAGTGCTAAAACAGGTGGGAAGGGAGGAGAGAGGGGGGACAACAGAGAGAGAGAGAGAGGTAGTGTATTTATGAATGGAAGGAATGAGTTTTTCCTCCCTGCTGGCTGTCATATGACTGACTGACAGACATTTCTTACAGGGGACACTGTAGGTTGAACAAACTGATACAAACACCAATAAATATTGTACAAACCCTAAAGCCCCCGCAAGCCATCATGTGTCACTTGGAGCATCATTAGTTCATTCAAAAATTTTCACCCAATTCATTTTTTGATTAGCCTTCGTTTCATTTATCCATCTCTTTAGGTCGGCCTCTCAAACAAGGCATACTTACATGCCATTATCACAGCAGTACCTGAAAATAATCTGACATGATTGTGTTTCCATGGCAACCATGCCAACGTCTGTACCAGTTTCCCAGTTCCTGTCTACATACTGTATATAATTACTACCGCAGACTACAGTACAGCGCCAAGACTGCAGAGATGAGTGGAGAAAATGGCTTCAGTCACACTGACCACACTGAATTGTGGTCAAACTCTGTTTCAGGTTATTGTGCTAATAGATGTAATGTCGTCTGTTTAAATCCTACAATATCATATTACATTAGACCAAAGCTGAAAGGAGTAGTCAACTAATAGATTAGTCAAATCAATCAGCAATTATTCTGATAATCACTTAATCCTTTAATCCATTTTAAAGCTGAAATCCTTCAACACCATCATCCTTCAATAAAAGTACACTTGATATTTTGGGGTTTTAAACCAATGGTTGAAATAACTTTTGCCTCGGAAAAACTTTGAAGGGCATCTTTCACACATTTCTTGATGATTAATTTAAACAATCAAGAAAATAAAACGCAGATTAATTGATTAGTCTCTCTGGTTTAAATTACATACCAGTGTCAGATGGACAAAAATAGTAATATGAACATGTCCACTTGGATTCTGGGACAATGGAGGGGGGGTGCGGTGTCGATTTCAAGTTCCCTGAAATCATTCATCTGGACAAAGCGTTTGTAAAAGCTGTCATGGGTAAATCTTCATGATACAGCTGCAGTTGAAGTAAATTTATTACATCATAGGTCAAGGCATTAAACTGTTACTAACATCCCATTATTACATCATAGGTTAAGGCATTAAACTGTTACTAACATCCCAGCTTTAAGCTTTAGTTGACTGCTCTGTTGCATTTTACAAACATTGACTGAGTATGGAATAAATGTTGGCCAACTGTTATAAATGTTTGTCTGCCTTCAGTAAAAATGGGCAGCGATACTGCATGTCCAGTCCACTGAACATTAGCATCCTCACACCTTACTGTTGTTGTTTTTGTTGTTGTTTAGGGGACCAGCTGTCATGTGCTGGGGATAGCCTGCTGAAGGGGGGAAATGCACGGACGTGAGAACCCCTTGCAAACCCCCCCATCTGCACGTCATGGAACATTTGCAGAAGAGGGACCTCCCACCTTAAAGGCGTGCAACAGAGAGCAGACACAACAGAGAGAGCTACGCTGCACCGGACTCACTATCTCAGGTGACAGATGCACCTACAGATACCGTGAAGCTGCGGAGGAACACAAACAATTACGGCTTTAAAAACACATTATGACCGCGGTGTGAAGCAGGTAACAGAGCCTTACCTGTCAATGTGCATCATGCAGATAACTTCATTACGCCGACGTAACCGAAAACGCCGTTTTGCCCGGTCGTCCGTGCACAGCTGGGTTGCAGAGATCCGCTATGTGCTCACGGTGTGCTTTAAAATGTCCCGCACAGTTGTGGTACTATTAACGATCAACAGAGGGCGCCAAAGGACACACAACCTAAGATTATCCGGCCAGGAGTGCCAAACTTATCCGATGCTATTAAAAATGACAAGAAAACATGACTTCTTTTAAGGTTACACGAGTTTGTATATTAGATCAGAAAGAAAAGATGTTCGAGACTTGAATATAAATTTGAAAGCCGATTTAATTTTATTTAAAAATTTGTTTCACATATAGAAATAGCACCACTGCATTTAGTGATGCAGACTGCATAAAACAAATGTGTAGAAAAGTGTGGCAAAAATCACATGTTGAAACATTTGTCACATCTACTCTTAATCTTTCCTGAGCTAGAATGGAAGACCTTGATCATAAAAACTGTTTAGTGCAAAAATAATGATCATATATGTGTTAATATTTATTTCCCACACACCTTATTGAAATAATGCAAATCACAGACAGTCCACCTCCATTTTTTTAGTTGTTAATAAATCAAATATTGTTCAGATAGACAGCACTGCTGCACAGGTTCCCACAGATGTGTTCACTTGTAGGCTGCTTTGCTTTCACTCCATCTGGAAAGCGTGGACACTGAGCTGCCGACTATCTGGTTCCTTTCTGCTACACAGCCTGTTACAATATAGGACGAAACCTTGAAAGGGTCTGACTCAAACCTTTGATTATTTCCGCTGCTGCAGAAAATGCAGTTAACAAGATCCCTGAAAATGCCTGTTTTATAGGAAATTTACATACATTTTTAGTTTTTGGAGACTTTTTTGTTTTACCTCTGGCAGTTTACTTTTTAGTTTTGTACCACTTAAGGTCATTCAGACTTGAACTGTTTAAATCAATGTAATAGCCTAATAAAAACAGGAAAATGAGGGTGTTCTAAAACTTTAACAGTGTACTTTTTTGTAGATTTCCCACAGATTTTCACTAATTTCAGGACAGCTAGATCAAAAGTATTTTGTGTGCTGTGCTCAGCGGTTTATTTATTTTTTGTCCTCTTCTTGGATGACCACTCTGTTCCTCTTCAAGTGAAATGGTTTCCCTTTAACTGGCACCTGTCAGCTTCAGCGTCCAGGCCCACTGGCATGGCATCTGGCTGAAGGACAGCTGGGGCAGGACAACCTGCAGTCCACTGGGCTTTGCAGGCTCCCACTTCAGAGGCCCGTAACCAAGAAGACCCACCTTTTTTAGAACAAAAGCAACATGTGAACAAGGCTGATGCAACAGAGAGGGAGAACTGCTCTCCCAAGATGGAGTGTTGTTATTATTGAGCAAGGTTAGAGCAGTCTGCTGATACAGTGACCCTTTAATTAAATTCTGGCCAGTCATTTCTTTCACTGCTGATATGATGGTGGTGGTTCCTCCCTGACCACAGCTACAATAGAGCAATCTGTAAAACCTACAGCTATACAGATTTCATTTATTCAGTTCATCAATTATTGCTATTAGAGCTGAGACACTTATTCACTTCAGAGAATGATTTGGCATCTACATCAAAAATCAATTAAATATTTAAAATATTTTAAGCAATTACTCTTTTGTACTGGCTTTGCTATATTTTGCAGTTTTTTTTTCTCTGGTGTATATAAAACATACATTATTAGATTTTGGTCACACAGAACAAGGCTTTTGAAGACATCATCTTGGGTTTTGACTGTGGTGGACAGCTTTCACTATTTCCTGATGTTTCACCGACCTAATAGTGAATCACCCATCTGTATGTACTGAGTGGCACTGGGGTGACAAATAAACTAGTCAGTGCCCTCTGGTGGACAAACTATACAAAAGTAACAACTTTGGCATTTGACTTCTTGGTACTTAAGAGCTGCCATATGTATATATGCCAAAGCCAACAGGTCTGTGACAGTTTAATAGTGACAGATTTATCAGTCTTGATCTGCTCTTACCTGAGTCTGTCCTTGTTTAACCACAGGTTCATTCAGAATCACAGAACCATTACTGGGCCACTCCAGTAAAATGGCAAAGATGGACTTTTCCTTTGGTCTGGAAGTGTACCTGTTGAAGATAAGGCCCATTCAGGAATTTTTAACAAAGGGGCAGAGGTAATGTGTTTACCTGTGTTTCTTTGTTGGTTCTCAAAATGTAAAGAATGGAATTGGATGAAAATGTTTGGAGGTAGGGACAATCCATTAGATTTTGGTCATCTTTATTTCAGTCTGCATGGGACATTTACTGACCCATTCGTGGCATTTAGTAATCACTCACGACTATCATTTTTCTTGAATAACTTTCAAACTAATAATGATATCAATGTGATCCCAGATTTTTTTATGCTCAAAGAATCATATTATGAGGGTCAAACTGTCAAGGGAATATTGAAACTAACCTGCTGTACTACCAACATTGCAACTCAGCAAAATTTAATGAAAACTGTTTGTACACATTGAGGTGCACTTCCTGTTTGAAGAAAGAAGTAATGGAAATGCTTGAGTTTTCACAAACAAATCCCACCTTGCTGTTCTGTTCATGGGAGGATTTTGTTTTACTAGAATATTTGGAATAAAAAGGGAATATTTTAAATGTATAGTACATTTTCTTTCAAAAGGAATCTACAGGCTCAAGGTGGAAACTTATGCATTTATTGACACTATGCATAATGCAAAGTATCATAGGATCGCTGTAAACCAAATATATTATATAAACCCACCAGACATGCGGCGTGACACTGTCATTCTGAGCTCGCCATGCTGTTGTGTTGTAGATGGCCTCGCCGTTGACCTTCATCCACTGACCCATCTGCCTCAGACGCTCCTCAAAGATCGGAGCGATTCGTCCATCGTGTGTAGGGCCTACGTTGATCAGCAGGTTCCCCCCACAGGACACAGTCTCTACCAATGTCTGAAACACATTTCAGACATAAAGGTGATGTTGAACGACAGTGCATCATTACCATGTTAATTTTGACACATTAGTATAATTAATATAAACAGTACCATCGCAGTGAAGACTGGGAGCATCTACCAGCCTCTAGTTTAGACTGAGGTGTATATAAGTGACACTAACTTGGATTATATAGAAAGGACTATTTCTTTACTGTCCCTCTCAAATTAAATGCTTCAGTGGTAAAGTCGTGCTAAGCAAAATTCTTCCAATCAGACATTTAACCATAAATCATATTTTTCTTAGATGGAGCAGTCCAACAGATTGGTGACATGATAAAATACTTTACAGAAGACCAATATTTTTGACTCTCACCGCCACAAGCTGCTTGGTAGTGAGGTAGTCACTGAGCGGAGCTTCACGTCTATAACCCCAGGACTTTGAGTCGATGGTCATACAGTTTTCCCATTTGTGTTTGAGCAGGTGTCCTGGCTGGTAGCGGTCATCACAGGTGTAATATCCACCATGGGTGCATATGCAGCCAGATCCCCAGCGATCGTTTGTCACCACTGTGTCTCGCACTGGACTGAAGTAAAGCAGATTTTATTCAGTTCAGTTTTTATATCTATCATGTAAATATTGATTAATTTTCTTTTCATTACCTGTCATTATAGAGCCAGGCTAAAAAACCTGTGCTGTTCCAGTACTTGTCAGGCGCGTTTCCATCCCCATCAGACCACAACACCTCTGGCTTGTACTTCAGAATCAGCTCATACAGCTCAGGCAGAGTTTTACTGGTAGGAAAGTAATTTGTAGTGAAAACATTGGCAGCGTCCTGTTCAAAGAGTGGATTAAACCACTCAAAGAGGGAGTGATACAGCCCTAAACGTAGGTCACTGTTCGCACGGAGAGCACTTGCCACTTCCTCCACCAGGTCTCTTCTGGGTCCAATGTCCACTGCATTCCAGTTCCAGGAGTTTTTTGAGCCCCACAGTGTGAAACCTGAGATATATAAACAAAACAATATATCTTCTGCATGGCTGAAGGGATGAAGCATGGCACTAACAACCAAATATTAGACTTTTTTTGTGGCAATAAAGTAACTCATCTTTAAACAAGCAAAAAATACTGAGTGACAGGATGTCAACCATGTACTCTACCCTCATGGTGTTTTGTAGTGAGGACGATGTACTTCGCTCCAGATGAGGTGAAGATGTCTGTCCATTCTTTGGCATCAAAGAACTCTGCAGTGAACTGTGATGCAAAGTCTTGATAATGGAAGTCTGGAGGATAATTCCTCAGCATAAAGTCAACATACGGCTTTAGTTTTTGCTTCTGCCAGTACCACCTAGAAGAGAAAATACAAGCAAAACAGGATAAAAAGAATGTGCATAATTACTGTATGTCAAATAGTTGGTCATTGAAGTAAAGTATAAGATTTTAAGAAGCTGGTAAATTAGTAGTGCAGCTAAAGTTAGGTAAAAAAGCAACATATGTCTAGCTACCGGTAAATTAGTAGTGCAGCCAAAGTTAGGTAAAAAAGCAACATATGTCTCATTTTTACACAAAATACAGTTTTTTGATTCTTTCAAACTTTATAACACTCGTTCCTCCTTTGGTGTCTAAACATCATATAGGGCATAATTATCCTACTGTTAAACGTTGCCAAATTAATCCAAAACACACTGACGATATGAAAATAAAATTAATAACCTATTTATTGCACTACTTTTTCAAAATAGCGCGCCACGCTCACGCGCATTACTGAGCTGGCACTGAGCAAAGTGTAAACAAAGGTTGCTCTTAATAAAGTAGGTTGTTCCAAGAATATTTCTATATACCCATTTTCATAACAAAAGCCGAAATCCAGCACAGTGCTGAGTAACTTGAAGCTCTGTAAATACCACTAATATGATTAAACTTGTTAATAACCTATTATAATACCTTAACCTCTTATCATATCTAATACCTTTTTAATGCAAGTTTAAACTGTATCCAATTTATTTTCAAGGAAATAAATTAATAATAGGTTATTATTAAATCAGTGACCAGCTGACTAATTTTGCCTGGATATCATCAGCAGGGTTCATACAGCTCAAAGTGTCAACTTACTCAAGAAACCCGGTTGTCTGTGAAATTTAAATCATCCCATAATATATGTAGGTGCTAGAAATAGGGACCAGAACTCACCAGAACCACTCGCTGCCGAAGCTCGGGACAGAGAAGACTCCCCAGTGTATGAAGATACCAAGCTTAGCCTGGTCGTACCACTCTGGCAGCGGTCTGGAGTCAATGGACTCCCAGGTCGGTTCGTATCTGGCTCTGCTGGTGCTGATCATCAGCATCGACAGAAGTAAAGAAACGACTGTTAAACCTTCCATTTCAGGTCGAAATCACTTGCACAAAGTGATCTGGGTGCACGGGTTTGCTATCACATGACAAATTCATAAACAGGGGAATCACATGATAAAGCGACAGTAGTCAAACAGGATAAAGCGACAGTAGTCAAACAGGATAAAGCGACAGTAGTCAAACAGGATAAAGCCGATGAACGCCGCTTCTGTAGCACAGACGCCTCCCATGGTTGAAACACCGGAGACGTTCGTTACGTCGCCCCGTTTATTCGCCGTCGAACTTCGACCAATCAGATCAAGAGAGTGCCGGGCAACTGCGTTAGATCTCGCGTTACTCGCGCTAATGTGTTCACGCATGCCCAGACCGCGTTTCTTTCAGTAAATGAGTAATGTTTTCAACAATAGAACGTCCACATGCACGGGTTTATTGACTGTCACTGTCATATCTCTGCGGGGGATTTTGACAAGGTATTACTGCACTTTAACAGGATATACGTGAGTATTTTTGTCTTTTGAATATCTTATAAGAAAGTTGATTTTTTTTCTCTCTCCCCTGTTTTCGTTGTCAGGACATAGAGGAGGTGATAGAGAATTCAAAAAAGGTGAGCCATCTCTGCTAGATATCATTCAGTGTAGTTATTATTGTGTATTTTAGGTAATTTCTCTACTTTGTTATTTCCAAGGCCGGATTGTTGGCACTTTTAGCCGTGGCAGAGCATGTCGGGGAATTTGAAAAGATAATTGCGCTGTCACAGAGGTAGCTATAGTATAATAATAGTAGCTATCAGTTTAATGTATTGTGGATACTGACGGTTTTGCTTTTTCTTAGGTTCCCAGGTTTTATCTTCCCCTGCTTAGGAGTTCACCCTGTTCAAGAGGTTTCCCCAGAGCATCAGAGGAGTGCTTCCCTCGAGGTAGGGTCGAGTTTATAGGGTTGGTTCACCTAATTACTTTTAACAAAGGTAGCTCTTATTTGAGGTGGTCCAGGTCCTACCATAGCTAGTTTTTATATATGTTTAACTGTCTGGGGGTTTAGTGAGTGATATGTCAAACCCTGGGGTAATAAAAGTACAACTATCAATGTGGCTCTGTAACAGCTCAGGTAAGAAATAAAAATGTTTTTTGTGATTAGGTGCTAATTAACTATTTAAAAATATAACACTACAGTTCACTGGATTATTTATGTTTTTTGCAGTCATGTTACAGTCTAGATGTTTTTTTGAAGGATCTAGGTGCTGCTCTTCCTGTCATAGAGAAATACAAAGACCACCTTGTGGCTATCGGGGAGGTAAAGATTCACTACCTCTACTGTGACTTGAGTAGCACTTTACTGTCCTGACTTTGTTTGGTTCTATGTTACCTTTAACTCCTTTTCCTATTTTTGATGTAGGTTGGTTTGGATTTTACACCCAGATATGTCAGCAATGAGACCGATAAAGAGAGCCAGAGGCAGGTCCTCATTCGTCAAGCACAGATAGCCAAAGAACTGGATCTCCCTCTGTAAGTCATGTAGATTTTAAGTCAAAAGAACAGACCATATTTAACAGTTTCTAAAAATATTTTGATGTTGAGGGTTGCTGTCCTGCAAAACAAATTGGACTATAGGCATTTTTACAATGTTTACAGGCAGGTTAACCAGAAAATATGTGACAAGACATGTATTTGTGTGTCATATTAATAAAATATTCTTCTGCAATTCTGCTTTTTTTAAAATGAGAATTATAAAATCCCCTGAAGACATACAGCAGACTTAACAATTTCTCCAACATGCCCGCCTGAGCCACTTTTGTGATTATTTCTAGAAATGTTCATTCACGGTCCGCTGGAAGACCCACCATACACCTCCTTAAAGAGCAAGGTATACGCTAAATTTGGGCTCTTAAGTTTATGTGTGGATTAATCACTTGCTTGAATATTTGAGAAGTAAACTTATTTTCTGAAATGTCACTAGGAGTTGAAAAAGCCCTGCTTCATGCTTTTGATGGGAAGCCATCTGTTGCCATGGAGGGAGTGAAAGCTGGATATTTCTTTTCTATTCCACCCTCCATAATACGGAGTGAACAGGTAATTCTAGTTTAACCCAATCTCGCCTTCGCTTCCTGAAACACTCCTGAGCTGGAAAGCATGTTATGTTACTGTGACAAACGGCAACATTGAGTTGTCATTATATGTGGCATAACCACATATTAAACAGATTTTGTTCCATTAGATTGAATATAGTTTTAAACATTGCCATTCTTAGTGTGGTGATACATTATTTAAACTCGCAATAAATGATCCGTGATAATCTTGCAGCACCTCTTCCCAAGGCACCTCGGGGTGCTGCAGCACTCACTTTAGGAACCGCTGGTTTAGGGAGCACTGCTGTTTCAACTGTATCATCATTTTTGGAAGGTGTATTTTGTGCTGCTGTTTTAGCTAGTTGTACCTAATAAACTGCCAACTTGAGTGTATGTGTAACTAGACAATTAATTTTATTGACATAGTTACAAATTGAACATCTTTGTCATGTTATCATTTACAGTTTACACAACTTAATTACTTCCACCGTCTCTTCAGACAGTGCTGACATGTTTACTTTGACTTTGTTTCATTGGTTTGCATTATCACTGTCAGTGTTAATAATTGATGGTGGTTTCTTTGTGTATTTTTTTGATTTTACACCAAGAAGCAGAAACTTGTGAAACAGTTGCCATTAGAGAACATCTGTTTGGAAACTGATTCACCTGCTCTGGGTCCAGAAAAGCAGGTAAAATGTTTGTTTCCTCAGAATAAAATCCAAGCTGAGGATATTTTCCAGTAGTGGATGTGTGTGATATATATATTTTTTTGTTTTCTTTTAAGCTATGCTGTATTTTAGGTTTAGACCTCCATTTCTTATATTTTTCTTTTGCATTCATATTTGTAACATATGTCACTAAAAATGTACTCTTGTGTTTCTCATTGGTTGCTCTCTTAAAAGACTTCCAGTTTTATTTATCTGCTCATGTCTTATCCTTCTTTTATTGTGTCCTGCATGCAGGTGAGAAATGAGCCCCAAAACATCTCTATCGCTGCTGAGTACATCAGTAAGATCAAAGGTGTGTCACTGGAAAAGGTGGTGGAGGTGACCACACAGAATGCCCTCAGGCTCTTTTCTAAGCTAAAATTGGCCATCAAACCCTGACGGAGTCTGTTACCTTTGTGATCTTTTTAAATACCTTAATGTGGACCTCTTGATTAAATCAAGCTGCCCTGAAGTATAAATAAATAAAAGCAGGATTGAGAAAAGTGAAAGCCATTTACTTATCTCCATGTATGATGTTATTAAATAAATGGAGAGAACAGTTTAACATTCTAAGTTGCATATTTTTATGTGTGTGACAAATTTGAAACACCCAACAATTTATAAACAGCTAGTCATATAACAAGTACAGCAGCTTGCTGACATCAGTCACAGTAAGTATATATAATATTATTTTCTAGGAACTTGTATCTTATCCAAGTACACTCATTTACCATTTATCAACTGCAACCTATGAAGACTAATGCAGTCTAACATAACAGTCCTGCATTAAATCCTGCCTTCATTATTTTTTTTCTGTTTTTTTTTGGTGAAACTGATTCAGGGAGGTGATACTGTTGAACTCTATTACATTACACTAAGAAGTGTCTCTTATTTTGCCTAAATTAGAAACATCTCTTTATATTGTATTTCATACAGTGGCATCTTTCTCAGTGCCTAAATGATACTACATTTCGAAAATAAAGTTATTTACTAACAAAGCTGTTTTTGAGACCAACATTTTATTAGTTTTACACATCATTTACACATAGACAAATGCTTGTGCAGATATGAATTAAAGAAAGAAAATAGTAACATAGTCTGTATTTGTAAGTGATTTGTGTCTCAAAATGACTTATCTTTAATTTAATAAACTTATTTAAAATATGTATATGTTTTATTATATTCTATTATACTGTTAGTGTTTTGTTTGGGGTTAATCTGAAAGGTACATGCCAGAACAAAAGTACTGTTAAGTGTTCTGTACTTAATGCCGTACCTAATGCTTCTTTTAAGTAGTGTTATAATAAACTATTTTCTTTCAGTTGGATTATTATCCTGGAAAATGTTTTTGTTTGTATTTTATAATTGCAGCTAATATGTGTTCACTATAAAATCCGGACTGTGGGTGTCCCGTGAACGCAGCGCATGTGCAGTTCATGGACCTCCCAGAGCGGACCGGACACGTCAGCATCGCTTGTTACACTGAGCCGTGGCTGATAGACGGTTTGTGCAGTCAGTATGGAAGCTTGATAGCCGGCGCCAGCGCCTGAACTTTGCCTCACTGGCCCGCATTCGATAAACCTTCCCCGGTGTCACCTCGGGGGAAACTTTTCTTCAGGCGTGTCTTCCGCCTTGCTGTCGAGGTGGAGTTTGGGTGTTTACAAGTTGTACCAAGTCAAATCAAGATTAACGGCGGCTTGTGCGTCCGTTGAGCAATGCTGGCTGCATTGAGCTGAGAGGACATCTGTTGTAAAGCTTCTGTTGGTGAGTAGAACTTAAATTTCCCTCGTCAGCTTCATTCATTGTGAGTCAGTTCAGCAGAGAGTTTGTTTTAAAACCTCTGAGCGTGCATGTTTTTGCATTTCTGCCCATTAACACGAGGACAGCCAAGTTAATATTAGACCTTTTGTTAGTGTTTGATTAGATTGGTTTGCCCAAGCATTGTATTGATGTGGAGCTATTTTATTTCTGCAAGCATTGGAGTATAGCCCAAGGTACACCAAACTAAAACTAATTCAGTCTAATATAACGGTCTTGCAGTTAGCCCCACTATCATCATAAAGGTTTATGATGATAGTAATGTTCAGTTTTGGAACATTTGTTTTCTAGAAGTGTTGATTCAGTTGTACAATCATTCTGAAGCTGTGGCTTTTACGGTTGTTGGCTGTACTGAGTTATACAGATGGTTGTTATTTACAGTAGCCAAGCCTCAATAAAACAAAATAGAAAATCTTCTTAGTATAATACCATACAGTCCAACAGCACAACAAACTACATCCTCCAAAATGCTCATATAGTTGAATTTACACCTCTCTAAAACATTATCAGCAAAAAGTGGGCATTATCACCTTTATGAATTTACTTTATAGCAGGACTTATATTAGTATTAGTTAGGTGTACCTAATAAACTGGTGTTGTCCCATATCTCATCCATCACACCTCATGGCCTAAAATAAACCTGATGTTATTCCAGTTTAGGTGTAAACAGGACGGTACCATGACAGGGGACACGGTGGTCTGGAGGGGCCTGATCTGGGTGAAGCAGGCAACCTGCAGAGCTTCACCAGGCAGCCTGCCTGGCAACAGGAACCAGAGGCTGGTAGCCTTCCATCACACCACCGGATCACAAACGGTGAGCAGTCGGCCATGATGTGGCCACCACGCTGCTGCAGAGCTGGGTAGAGGTTCACAAGCATGCTGCACAGACACCTCTGTGCTACCTTTATCTTGTCAACACCACAACAATAGTGATCAGGGTTATCAGGCAGGTTATGCTGGAATAAAGCCATCAGGAGAGGAGCTCAGTTGTAAAGCATTCAGTGAAGGAGTCAGCTGATGGTTTTAACAGCTTAGAAATGACGTGTGAATTGCTTTCCACTTAATTTGTTACTTTGAGGGAACATTAAGCTTCCAAAACAACATTTAGATCACTGGTTCTCAACTCTCCTTCAAAAGAAGCATTTTCTAAGTGTGTCCCCTGGTCACAGCTTGTCCACCAACTAGTGAGTTTTCTCTTGATTTGATTTATTTGATTAATTATTAGAGGTCTTTAGATGAAAAACAATCAAATGTTTCACAATCAAGCAAACACTAGAGACAGACCCCAAAAGTAAAATCAGGTTTGTGTAGCCAGACAATGTTTTGTTTTATCATTTATCATCTTGTGACCCCTCAGAGGAGTCTTGTGACCACCAATTTAAACAGTCACAAGACACTAAAATGCAGCTAAAATCACAAATTCTCCCTACTGTCTCTACGTCTTTCCTGCCATACAGTACAGGCATGTGCCAAAAAATTAGAATATCAAGGAAAAGTCCATTTATTTCAATAATTTGTTTCAAAAAGTGAAACTTGTATGTTATATTAGTTCACTGCACACAAAGTGAAATATTTCAAGCCTTTATTTGTTTCAATTTTGATGATTATGGATTAAAGACAAAAAAAACCCAAATCCAGTATTTCACAAAATTAGAATATCATGACAAAGTTCAACATTGTAGGCTCCCTGTGTCCCAATCTAGTCAGCTAATTAATGCAAAACACCTGCAAAGGTTTCCTCAGCCTTGAAATTGTCTCAGTCTGGCTTAGTAGGCTTCAGAATCATGGGGAAGACTGCTGACTTGACGGTTGTGCAGACGACCATCATTGACACCCTCCATAAGGAGGAAAAGTCTCAAAAGGCAATTGCAAAAGAAGCTGGATGCTCACAGAGCGCAGTATCAAAGTATATTAACAGTGTTAAGAAGAAGGGAAGAATGTGGCCGGAAAAGGTGCAAAAGTGACAGGGATGACCGCAGCCTTGAGAGGATTGCCCATCAAGGGCGATTCAGAAATCTGGGGGAGCTTCATAAGGAGTGGACTGAGGCTGGTGTCAGTGCATCAAGAACCACCACATACAGACTTCTGCATGACATGGGCTACAGCTGTAGAATTCCAGGCGTCAAGCCACTCCTGAACCAAAAACAACGTCAGAAGCGTCTGTGCTGGGCTAAGGAGAAACAGTACTGGTCTATTGCCCAATGGTCCCAAGTCCTGTTTTCAGATGAAAGCATATTCTGCATTTCATTTGGAAATCAAGGTCCCAGAGTCTGGAGGAAGACCAGAGAGGCACAAAAGTCAAGCTGCTTAAAGTCCAGTGTGAAGTTTCCACAGTCAGTGATGGTTTGGGGAGCCATGTCATCTGCTGGTGTGGATCCATTGTCTTTTATCAAGTCCACAGTCAACGCAGCTGTCTACCAGGAAATTTTAGAGCACTTCATGCTTCCCGCTGCCGACAAGCTTTTTGGAGCTGAAGATTTTATTTTCCAGCAGGATTTGGCACCTGCCCACACAGCCAAAATTACCAGTACCTGGTTTAATAGCCATGGAATAACTGTACTTGATTGGCCGGGCCGCCTTGATGCAGTAATTAATGCAAAAGGAGGCCCAACAAAGTACTGAGGACATAATACAGTACATTAACACACTTTTCAGAAGGCCAACATGTGTTTAAGATCCTTTTTTTATTGGTCACATGAAATATCTTAATTTTGTGAAATACTGTATTTGGGGTTTTTTTTGTCTTTAATCCATAATCATCAAAATTGAAACAAATAAAGGCTTGAAATATTTCACTTTGTGTGTAGTGAACTAATATAACATACAAGTTTCACTTTTTGAAACAAATTATTGAAATAAATGGACTTTCCCTCGATCTAATTTTTTGGCACATACCTGTACACCTGTAACTGCAGCACTAACAGTAGCCTTCACACACATGGGTCTTAGGTACAAATACTAAAACACATTTACACTTAATAAATGTTTGTTTGATGGGGTAAACATGGGGGATGTACAGCCCTGAACAGACCTGGTCCCCAGAGCTGCTGTTTCTTTTGCCTGGCTGGTGATTCCATCCTTGAATGTTGTCATGTGCTGTCAATTCTGCAAACCTTATAACTTACTTAAATGAACCACGTTTTATCATCCAGGAAACGTTCACCAAACAACAAGAAGTTTGCACCCACAGAGCCACAGCAGTGCATTTTCGTAGATACTCGACTGTGGGAGTTTGTATTAGCAGCTGTTTCACTAGAAGTGTGAATGGAGGTCAGGGGCCCTGCAGTGGAAGATCCAGCTCAAAGCGGCTAAAGTACCGCAGGGACTGGTCAAGTCATCTGTTCTCTGGACATACGAGATTATTTAACCAGGACAACTACACAATGGGGCGGCTGATATCGGAGGACGTCGATAAAGCAAGAACCAACAAGAAAGCAGACATTAAGCAACATAAGCAAGTGGTATGCACTCTAAGACCTTTTTTTTAATCAGTGTTTGAATAATTTCGATCAATGTTGAACAGGAGCATTTTATTTGTCTTTTGTCAGTCAAGTTTAGTTCTTTTTCAATTTCAGCTCAGTGAAAAAGCCAGAGAGAGGAAGGTGCCCGTCACACGGTTAGGAAGGCTGATGAGTTTTGGAGGTAGGTGTGTGTGTGTGTGTGTTGGTACGTTGGTCCTCTTACACCTGCTGTTTTAGCTCATGGCCAGAGGAGAGCGACACGAATTATTACCATAGTCCTCATCACCATAAAGGTCTCTGTTCATTATCAGAATCCCTAGACTAGGATCTGCAGGGAATGTAAATATGGAAAGCTACTGCCAGTGTCCCCTGCAGACAGTGGGAAATTACTGGGCAGCTGTCAGGTGCTGTGAAGGTGGGAGCGTGTGTGACTGTGACTCAGCACAGGCAGAAAATTTGTGTGTGTGTGTTTGAGAAAGAGAAAGAATTAGACTAAACACTTGTCATGTTTGCTTTATGTGAATCACTAGCAGGGGTCTCAAAGTGTAGGACTGTTGATTGGCTATGTTTTTATACAGCTTTTCACATTCACTGAATTTTCAGAGCCCTTTTCTTGTATTTATAACCCCAAATCAGAAAAAGTTGGGATGGTATGTAAAATTAAAACTGAAAATAGTGATTTGTAAACCATCTGTACCCTGTATCGCATTATTTGACCTCATCAATTTTATTCTTTGTGCAAAATAAACATTCATTTCAGTTCTGATGCCTGCAACAGAATTCATGCTTACTTGCTTATAGTCTTCTTCTTTCCTTCTTTTTCTGGTGCGTTGCTTCGTCTTTTGCTGCCTCCTGTTGCTCAGTGGAATAGGGTGAAACCATTAGGAATGTCTGTTGTGTCATCCGAGTGCACATGTGCCTGCGTCAGTTAGTTAGTTGGAAATGAATGTGCAGCAATTTTAGTAAATGATTAGTCATTTTTAAGCAAAAAAAAAGGTAATTGGTTTGATTATTTCTGTGACATTTCATAGACTAAAAGATAAATCAAAAACATACAGAAGATTGATCAGTCATAAAAATAATACTTGGTTGAGCGTTTTTGAGTTTATGTAATGTTAAGTTGTTATATACAAATGAAACATGACATCTTAATTTAGAGCATTTATTAGCTCAAGATACAACTGTTTCTGATAAGTTGTGCAAACAAGTCGTAGAGCACCAATCAGTGTTTTGGTTTTTTTTTGTTTTTTTTTTTTGTTTCACAGTCATTTTGGATTAAGCTGATGGGGTTTGCATTGCTAACCGTGGTCACCAGTTTTCCAGCACTGGGCTGTGGCAGGTGCCAAGTCCTTCACACGACCAGAATTGCAAAGTATCTGTAGCTGAGAAAATGTTTTAGGGAGTCCTGCTAATATAAAACCTGTTGTCGGTCATTAGCTCGCTTCTCATCAAAGGGCAGCATACTTATCGCATAGTGCTGCTGTTTCTTGGCCTGAGTTTGCCCTTGAACTCTCAATGGACCCCATGTTGCCTGAGTGCTGTTATCATGTTCTGTTTTGTTGCTGCTGTTATCAGATGCAGAATAGGGCATCAGAAAGGGTAAGGCTGTGGGCATTCCAAACAATAAAAGGAAGACAATTGACTGATGATGTTAACTTCTTTGCAGGTCTGGCCATTGGACTCAGCTTTGGGGCAATCGCTGAAGTGGCCAAAAAGAAGTTTAAACCTCAACCACCAGGTGATAAGAGGATGGTTTTCATTTATTTATTATTTAAAGGTAGTGATCAGGTTTTAGTGGTAATATTATGAATGTCTAAGCTAATGTATGTGGTGATGATAAATGCTGCTGTTAAGAGTCATAGTATTTTAGATGGCATTTTTAACCCACATAGTGATATTAGCTTCAAATTTCATTTCAGCTTTTGGTAAATTGTGTGTAAACAGCTTATTTATAAGCTCATTTGCTTTTAAAACAGATTTTAAAATGGTTTCATACTGTACAGAAAGAGCATGTTAGAGCTAGGCCTGACTATTTCAGCATTTTCTTGGGTAACAGTAAAAAATGTGTTGTAAGCACCAAGTCTGAAAAACAACCTGAAAGTATCAGCTGCTTTGGCATCGTTTTTTCTTATTCTTTAATTTTCTATTAAATCGAAGCTGCCATACAGGAGTGAAGAACATCCATCTGTGACTTTGGTATTGGCATCATTATAAAATTGGACAAAACCCAGTTCTAGGCAGATTATACAGTTATAGTAAAAAAGGAACTTGGTCTCCTAATAAAAAGAGGAAGGGTGTGTTTTTCCAGTTCAAACCGTTTAGTCAGTGCCACGCACCAGAAGCAGGACACATTAATGGAGGCGCCACCAACAACATCAGAAGAAATCTTACACTTTTATGAGATATAGCACATCACACTGACATGTCAGAATAGGTGGGAGAGAGGTAGAGACAGTAAGTTATAGTTCTGTGCTGAAAACAGTTATACTGAAAGTGTTAACGAAAGAATACAAATAAACAAAGATCTGGTGCTTACTAATAGTTTTTGCAATTCCTTTCTCCATTACTGCTGAATCATAGCCTGTGTATAGAGATGGACAACATGTCGCCCATTGTGTCAAATCTGCCATAAAAAATATTGCTGTCTGCTGCTGAAATGTAGGCACACATGTACTGAAAGATTTAGATGTAATTTTTTTTAGGTCATAAGAAAGCCATACTGGATTCAAGTGCCTTCCTTTCTGAAGCCAACGCTGAAAGAATTGTTCGGACTCTGTGCAAAGTTCGAGGTGCTGCTCTAAAGCTTGGACAGACACTCAGTATTCAAGGTGAGGTATCACATCAAACAAAGAATTAATCTTCCAAGTACCATGATATGGGGATACAAGGGCATTAAGACCTCACCACACTGCCTGCCTACAGTTATGGACTAAATGTATCGGTGTGCACGTGAAGGTTCAACTTTCATCAGAGACCAAACACAGACAATAGGCCGGTGCCTCAGCATCCCAGCAGCCCTTCAGCATGTTTCTGATTCACTCACTGGCAAACAGACAAGATCCCTTGGCCAACAGGGAAATGTCATCAACGAAAATAAACCTCAGGCCAGTTGAACACAATAAGTGGCGTTCCAACCGAGATATTGGAGGCAGCAGGGCCTCCAGTTGACTTTGCACGGCCCAGTTCCAGATTATCACGCCTTATCAGACGCACAGAGGCATTTGTTTTTAGAGATAAATTGCTGGCAATCTTTCAAAAACACTTGTTTGCTGTTTTTAAGGTGGTTTTAAAATGCTCAGAGCCTTTTCTGAATCAAGTATTATTCCATCCACTCTGCTCACAAAAATAGTTTTTAACCAGGTTTTTTATTTCCTGATCCAAAAGAAGGTAGTACAGCTTTGTGTAAACTTTTTGTTACAGCTGAAACTCTTGATCATATGAGTTAGAGCTGAAACAATTAGTCATTCAATCCATGGCCAAAAAATTAATCTGCAGCTATTTTCTTCTTATTTGAAGCTACCTGCCTAATTTATTTTCAGACTAGGGGGCCGGTGAGACTCACAACTGACACCCTAAGACGCTCCTACCCGCTCTTTGCCCCTTCCCATCACGCCCTGTTTCCTAGCCATGTTATAAACTATGGATGCCTGGTTGCAACTATTTGTACAGAATGCGTCCTCCAGTCTGGAGCTAGCGTTAGCTAACTAATGAGTAGCGATGTGAGATGCCGCATATTTGCTTTTCAATACCAAGTAAAATCTGGGCTAATATCGACAATACTGATGCTTTGTGCAAAGGAACGAGGGAAAAGACACAAGACAACAGAGAATGATGGAGAAGAGGACATAGGCTCGAAGGTGTATCGGTATTGCTACATTTGTCAATCCAGCAGCACACTCTGGTTACTAATGTTACACAGAGCTCTCTCTCTCTCTCTTTGTCCCTCCCTTCTCTGTGCAAAACAACATGACCTCCTCGCTCTCTGGCAGCCACTGTTTTGTACTTGAAGCTCTTCTGTGGCTGGCTGTTTGAAATGATGACTCTTATAACCTTCCTGGGTGGCAGCTGGGGGATAATTTACAATCTGTTTTTACAACACAGTGAGAAAGAAAAGCGAAAATAACAGTAGGCAGCGGTGTATCATGGAGGGGGTAGTGTAGCAGATTGACACCAGGTCCTGTCCCATTTTCACTAGATTTATCAGACAAAGTGTAAAATCTTAGTGCTCCTTTAACATTTTGGTGATTTTGACCAGGAGTGTTTTGGTGTATACTGTACATTTTCATACACAGTCATTTATTTGTTTATATTTTTGCATCATGCTAAATTAGCAAAGAGATATGACACCTGCAAAGCAGTGGCATTTTTTCAATGAGTTATTTATTTATGTTCAGAGTTATTGTGAAGAAAAAGACTTCCCAGTGTCCGTTTAAAAAAATGTCCTATTTTAACAATGCACACATTTTAACAGCTAGTTTACTAAAACGGGTGTCAAGTTGGCTTGTTTCACTGTACCAATGTCATCTTCCTCTCAGATGACGCCTTTATCAACCCTCAGTTGGCCAAAATCTTCGAGCGTGTTCGACAGAGTGCAGACTTCATGCCCACCAAACAGATGATGGTAAAGTACAGAGAGCTGTTAATTAAACAACACAGCCTCGGTAAATCAAGCATAAGACAGTTTGGTATGTCTCTGCAGAAAGCCATCAGCAGCGACCTCGGCCCAAACTGGAGGGACAAACTGGAATACTTTGAGGAGAAGCCATTTGCAGCTGCATCTATCGGTCAGGTGCATTTAGCCAGGCTGAAGGATGGCAGAGAAGTGGCCATGAAGATTCAGGTAAGAGGAGTGTGCACAGAGATAAAACGGAAGCAAACCCTGACAACATACAGTGAATTTTGAAAAATCAAATCTTTCTTTCAGTACCCTGGAGTTGCCAAGAGTATCGACAGTGATGTGAATAATATCATAACTGCTCTGAGTTTGAGCAACACACTTCCTGATGGTAACATTTCTTCATTTTTATGATAACAGCTGCTATTGTCTGCTGTCCATAACCTCTGCAGTTGTCAATATACTAACCTTCACCAGCAGTGTGAATGTCACGATTCTCAGCTTTTTAACATTTGCCCTCTTGTACAGGTCTGTTTCCTGAGCACCTTATTGAGGTCATGAGTCGGGAGTTGGCGCTGGAGTGTGATTACATAAGGGAGGCGCAATGTGCAAGAAAATTTCAGTGAGTTCACATCTTTTTGCTACACAGTTTGAGTTAAGGATTCATTTTACACCATGTCTTAGCAAGAACGTCCACTACACTGAGCCACACGTTGTAGGAACATTTCCCAACCTGTTTTTTCTTGTGACACCTCGTCATAGGTTGCATGTCCATAAACTTTAAGCAGCTCAACTGTACACTGATTTCCCCTCTGACTGTTTTATATAAATAATATTTAGAGGTGTGAAAGGGTAAAGCTGCAGCATTTTATAAGAATTATTGCTTTGCAGTTTTATGCCTCCGCCAACCAGTCAAATTCATGGGTATGGGACGAAAGTGAGGTCACTGACCTTGACCTTTTTACCACGAAGATCTACTCAGTTCATTTTTGAGTCCAAGTGGACATTTGTGCCAAATTTGAAGAAATCCCCTCAAGGTGTTCCTCAGATATCGCATTCACAAGAATAGGTCGGACAACCTGAAAACATGATGGCTGTTACTGTCAGTGTTTAAAATGTAATGTCCAGGTTTGGGTTTAGGATATGAAGTAGTATATTGCAAGATCCTTTTTAGCCTTTGTATTCATCCGGGTAAGCAGGTTTTGCTGCTGTGTTTTTGCACCGCACATCCCAGAATTCACTTTTCTGTTGATGAGTGTTTTGGTAGGAGCCATTATTTCTGTTGCCTGTTGAGTCATGGTGGCTACCACTGCTCATGTTCACTACAAAGTATGTTATTCTGCGGTTGTTCAAAACAAATGGTTTTTCCTGGAAAGACAACAGATGTCCGACAATGTTGGGCTTTGGTAGAACCTCTGTTTGTAGCGTCGTTGCCATAACATAAATACGGATGTTGACTGTCATCAGAAGAGCCAAATGTCATGTTCATATGTCTTGTTTTCTCCTAACAACAGTCCAAAACCCAAAGATACTCGGTTTATAATGAGCTGTCACTCATATAGAGAAGTGTCACTCGACTCTGCTCTACAGTTATTTTTAGCATCTTTCAGTTGATTGTTTTGATGTCACAGCTTCATTTGTCGTTGCTCCCTCCCAGCGGGTTCACTCTTATCAGTGTCATTTACAGCAGCAGTTGGCTTCTGTTTTCAGCAGAAACGCTCCGGTAAACCGACTCTCCTTCACCGGTTCTGCACAAACACCAGACACACACAGTTAGCAAATAGCTGGTGAACATAATGGTGCATTTAGCAGCTGGACAGACAGATATTTTTCTCAGGTGTTTATAGAGACCAAAACAGCAATGCCCTAACTTTGTTTGCTAACAAGTTCACCATTATCAATTTGAAATGTGATTAAAAATTGTTGTATTCATGCCATCTTTCCACTGCCCCCAAGTGGCCAAAATATCAGTTATCTGACAAGTGACAGTTTTCCAGAGCAGTCATTATATTTGTTGAATCAACTTTGTTCCTGTTGTCTTTTAAATAAGAGTGGGAAAAAATGCTACATACTGAAAAATGTACCTTTAATTTTTGACCAGGAAGCTACACAACCCGATGTTCCAGTAAAGATCTATGTCCATCGTTGTGTTGGGCCTTTGTTGTCGATGTTTTATCACAGTTTTTTTTTTTTTTTTTTGGCTTTCAACTTTGTGATGCAGAGAGCTGCTGAAGGATCATCCTTTCTTCTTGGTGCCTGATGTCATTGAGGAGCTGAGCAGCCCCCATGTCCTCACCACAACACTGGTGCCCGGTTTCCCTCTAGACCACGCCACAGATTTCTCTCAGGAACTCAGAAATGAGGTACAGACGCTTAGGCCGCCCAGATCTCTGCACCACTTACAGTACAATGTACACTGTGATACTGCCAAGTGGAAGTGGAAGTGTGAAAACCTCAAGACACATGTCGCCACATCATTGAGCCTTCACTTGCCAGTCTTTTACAGTGGTGGAAGAAGTACTCAGATTCTTGGCTTAAGTAGCAATACCCATATAAATACAAGTAGAAGTCCTGCATTCAAAATGTTACTTGAATACAAACGTTTTGGCATCTAAACATAAAGTACTCATTATGCAAGATGACACAGTTAACATTGTGTCATATTATTGAATTATAATTACCAATGTATTATCGAGTACATCGCATTTGATTCTGCAGCTGGTAGCAGTTGAGCTACTTTTAATTTTATGCCTAAAATTACTCTTATGTATTTTGTGAATTTCACACTGGAACATTTTTTAATAATCTTATTCTGAAAAGTAACTAAAGTTGTCAAATGCAGTGGAGTGAGAAAATACAGTATCTATAAAATGTAGTGAAGCTAAAGTATGACGTAGCACAAAATGAAAATACTCCAAGTACAGATACCTCCAAATTGTACTTAAGTGCGGTACTTGAGTAAATGTACTTAGTTACTTTCCACCACTGGTATTTTAGCATCATTACACACAGTTTGTAATTCTTTGTTCTTTGCTTCTGCTAGATTTGTGAGCAGATATTGATTTTATGCCTACGGGAGCTTTTTGAGTTCAGGTACATGCAAACTGATCCAAACTGGTCCAACTTCTTCTTTGACCCGCAAACACACAAGGTCAGTTTGTCTCAGTCACTTCATAAACACACCACAGTTAAAATATTAGATGTTTTCCCCTTTTCATTGAGCTCCAGTGTGATTTTGTGTCTTTAGATTGCACTGTTGGATTTTGGAGCTACTCGGGGATTTGATAAAAGCTTCACTGATGCATACATTGAGGTGAGAAATGCAAAATGAAACAAATTCATGGCAGTGTATAGAGTATTTGTACAGTTTGCTATTGTGACATTTAATCAAACTATACTAACAGAAAATGTAATAAGATGTTATTTCATCTTGTTATAACAAAACAATCAACCTAATTTAAATGATAAACCGTTTTTTGTTAATGAGTGAATCCAATCAGTAAAGAGGAGACGTCGTAGGCCACGTTGACTGGTGGGACAAAATAAAGACGACTTGTTTATATTGTTTAGACTTTATTTCATGCTTGGGATGAGATGTAATATTACAAGAAATGTTTCTTCAAGTGAAATATTTTTATATACTGTAATAAGAAAACATAAGATGAAAATGTCTTGAAATGAGACACTGAGCATGTGTTTGTCATTCGGCAGCAATGTGCTGCTGTAAGAAAACAGTTTGGTCACGTTAAATTCATGAGCCAGCAATTGAAAACGGAAACATTTTGCCTGTTAAAGAAGTAAAAGCGATGGTGTGCTTGACTTTCATGCAGGTAAATGTTTCATTAGATCAGCAGTATTTTTCTTTACGCAGTGGACTCGTGTATTTCTCTCATCAGATTATTAAGGCAGCTGCAGATCAGGACAGAGGAAAGGTCCTGCAGAGATCCAGAGACATGAAGTTCCTCACAGGATACGAGTCAAAGGTAACAGACATTACAGCTGTCCCCACTAGAAACTGCAACAGTTATTTGAAGTGAAGTGAAATTTCTCCTGCGGGTTTGTTTTTTGTTTAAACTGCACTTTTCAGAGCCCAGATCTGCAGGAGAAATTTCACTTCTCTAAACCTCAAATCAGAGACTGATACCAAGGTGCCTCAGGGCTGTGAATCTACAGGTTTTATTTTCTGAAGAGGAATTAATTAGTGAAATGTTCTGATGTAATCTGACCCATATGAAAACAAAACCTGCCATACAAACAGAGAACAGCTGTCTCTGCGAATTGTTTAGTGATGATATGATCAAAAATGAGTGTCTAATCACATTGACATTTGTTTTCTTTGACTGGTGAAAAGAGGAACTACATGGACAGAACATTATATTATTATTATTTTTCTCCCACAGTGTGTAAACCCTGAGCAGAAATGTCAGTTTTTACCGTTTAAATGAATTAATTTAGTCATCACGCCAGTTACTAAATACCGCTTTGCCATATATATTTTTGATTGTTGGAGGATTTTTGGCAAAGTGTTATTTTTCATGTCTGTAAATTCCTAGTAAGTTTCCAATAACTGTAACATTATAGTAATTGCAGGTAAGACAGAGATGACTAAAGTTTCCTGTAGCAATGATGATAGTTTGTAATTAAGTTTAAATTGACTAGTTTGTTTCTTCCATGAAATTCCTCATGGAAAACAAAAGGTTTCTTAACTAGGAGCAAACAGTGGAGACTCCAGGATGTCACTGGTCATGGCCAAGAAATAATCCACACATCACCGACCATAACATGGCAAATATTGTTTACACACTTTGGTTTTTGAGCAGACTGAACAAACTACTTAATGATTAAATTTGTAAACTTCAGTTACTTCTGGCTACAGCCTTGCTGTTTGCAGTCATTGTGCTGACAGTCTGATAGCAATCGCTTCATGTTTAAAGAGATTTTCTCATCAAATTATTAAACAAAGCTAACTAACATTTACCTCAAGGTCTGATTAACTCCTGATGTTAATGTTATCCTGCTAAGGCAATGGAGAATGCCCACGTGGATGCAGTGATGATCCTCGGGGAGGCCTTTTCCTCTGAGGAGCCTTTTGACTTTGGAAGTCAGAGCACCACCAAGCGGATCCACTGCCTCATCCCCTTGATGCTGAGGGAGCGACTGACACCGCCACCTGAGGAAACCTACTCCCTCCACAGGAAAATGGGCGGTTCCTTCCTCATCTGCTCCAAACTCAAGGCTAAAATCCCCTGCAAGAACATGTTCCAGGAGGCCTACAACAACTACTGGAAAGATGGATGCCCCGGGGCAACAGACTAGCTGAGGGACTGGCACCAGGGGCTCCTAGCGTTGGCTGTGGTATGTTGAACAATTTAACTTGCACATTCTCACCTGTGAAGATATAATAGGGAAACCTGGACCAAATGATGTCCAGATATTACTTACTTTTTTTACAAGTAAACTGATGAGTACATAAACCGTAAAAATTGTCTGCTCCTTAAAACCTTTAATACGTGTGCTTGATATTCCATTTCTCGTCTTGACTTGACTTCTATCCAGACTAACTCTACACCAAAGGTATAACAGTCATTTCTATGTGTTGTTTGAATGAACTTGTGTGTACTGTAAAGCCTGATAACTGTGTCTGTATGGTATGAGGAACCGTTTTCCATCTGACCAGGACTGTCAGTTGAAATACTGATGTTGCAGAAACAAATCAGCGCAGATTGTTATTTTTAAAGCTATGACAACTGACTGAAATATTTAAACGTGAATCAAATGAAGGTGAAAATGTTTTGTTCTTGGGAAAAACGTGAAAAGGCTTACGACTAAGCTGTATAATAGGTCTAGTCGTATGTAAATTAAACAGCTGTTTCACTGGCTGTGTTTATACAGAATGACCATGAAAAAGGAGGTCCTAATCATTAGTATGGTGTCAAGAATATAAGGGGGATAAAATCTGACATTTTGCTTAATTAATTACCTAATTAATAAACTAAACTCAAACATGATCATTGCAATTGAATAAATATTTTATCACAGTTGTATGTTCGAGATTCTGAACATACAGAAATGATTAGTTGCTACCAAAACAGGAATCAGAAGTATGGAAGTAAATCCCCACCAGAAGGTTTGAAGGTGCGCTGGCATCGATTTGTAAACACAGGATCAGATGTGAGAGCATAATCTGGCCATGCATGCACTTGTTTGAGTCTACTCTGATATTTTTTTTTTCCCCTGTGTGAGAGTCTGTCAGCACAAAAAGTTTTGAAAGCGCACAAAACAGCTCGAGAGCGAGCATGCACAGATTGGTAAGAGTAGAATTGCATTTGAGTAGATCCCTGCTATTTGCTGAAATCATGTGTTACGCTCACAATTCTGACCCCGCTCACGCTCAGATCAGATTCTGCTCTTACACATATGTGCCTGTGTGCTCTTAAAATCTGATTTGCAAAGCAAATGGCACTCAAAACTTGTTTTGTGCGCTTTCAGAACATTTGTAACCTTGTGAAGAAATCTGAGGACTCAAACTAGTGCACGTGTGGCCGAATTACGCTCTCAAATCTGCGCCTGCACGTTCTCAAAATTGCCAGCTGAGTAGCACTCGAAATGAGGTTTGTTTGCCCTCAAATGTTTTGGTGGGGATCTACTTCCATACAGAAGTTTTGTACAAGTAGAATTTACAACTGCAAATAAATTGCAGAGTGGTATTAATCTGTACTCAGAACAGTCTGGCATTAAAACCTTTTTCTTAAATTGGATGGAAACGGTGCCACAACTCCCTGTAATGTAAAAATGTCCGGTTGTACCGCAAGCGGCTCTGAAGGATGAGGCAGAACAATCGGTGCTTGAGGAACCTCCTGCCTCATTGAGCCTTCTCAGTCCTTTGACGCTCCACTTGGATTGTGATGCTGGAGAAACCAAACTCCAAGCACAGCAGCTCTGTGGCCTTACTGAGTACGATCTGCATATCGGCGTCTTCCTCTGAAGACACAAGTAGACATTTCTTTAGGTAATGGTTTGCAGTAATCTTGAACATACAATATAGTATCGTCCACCTGTCCCTCCCCCTTCATGTTCAACACTTATTCTTAACTGGAGCTGTGCTGTATGTTTTCTTGATATAAATAAGCAGGTCTCATTTTGGGTTTCTTCAGTTTATCCTCAACACTAGTAACAGTTTGACCTTCACTGCAGAAGCCAGTCAGTGTAATAAAACCCAAACTTCCATGCAGTAAATTTTGTATTTTCACAGTTTAGCATCCATTTTGGTCTTCAGCACAACTCTGATCTCAGCTTCTATTTACTCGGATTCGCTACTTTATATTCAGGCTGTGAGGAACACGTACAACATATATGATTACAAGCTGTTACTAAAGACTGAGTATAATGAATACTTTTACTTTTGGTACTTACTCTACCTACTGTACTTTTGCCTAAATAAAATTTTGAAATCAGACTTTTACTTGTAACAGTATTTCTATACTGTGGTATTTCTGCGTTTACTGAAGGATCTGAGTACTTCTTAGCTCTGTAGATGTTGTTTCTGTTGACACTGACCCAGAAGTGGATGATGGTGGCAGCAAGCAGGACCCCGATGCTCTGCATCAGATGTCCCACCATGTGAATGAAAGCCGCCTTCACGCTGGTGTTGCTGTGTCAGTCAGCGTGTCTGTGCCTCCGATGCTCCCCATACCTCTGCAGTCAGATGGCGGGAAACCTGTGGCTGTGGCTATGTGAGGTACCAGGCTCCTGGAGGATCAGGACCATCCTAAATAAAACAAAGTAAAACAATTTTTAGAAGAGTGCTGACTGCCCACTACATAACAATTATACGGACAATGAGATCAGCCTACTGCCACTGCACACCCTGAGGTTATCAGCATGATCTGAATGTCAATATTGTAGTCACCATCAGCGATCCTGTGTATGGCTGATAAGACCAGCACTACTGTCACAGCCCAGATAGTCATAACTGACAGCAACATTCCCAGAATCTCTGTTTAACACAACAGAGTCATACAAAACATAAAGTGTACAAATGATGGTGATCATACTACAAAAACCAATTTATATTTTGAAAATTATCAACCACAAGGCAGTATGACTATGGCTTGACAGGACTCAGCTGAGAAGATTGATACCACTCATGTTTGTACATCAAGAATGGAGCTGGGAGCTAATTAGCCTAGCTTAGCATAAAGACCAGAGACTGGAGGAAATACACCTACCAAAACATGAGATTCACTTATGTTGTATCACGTTTGTTTAATGCCAACACAAAGAACTGCAAAAACACCAGTTTGTGCTTATGTGATCTCACCATTTCTTGATGAACATTAATTAGTAACAAGCTTTATGCTAATTGTCTCTTTGCTCTAGCTCCATGTTCAGGGCTGTAGCTAGGGTTTGAAAAACACTGAGGTTGTTTTTCTGTTCAAATGTGGTCAAATATTATACTCTAAACCTACACAAATCATCTTAGAAAGGTGTATCGGTGCTTTCTGTAATATTAGAATATAAACTCACCCCAGCTCCAGCTTTGTTTACATTTGATGCATTTAAGAGACTGATATAAACTCAGTCTGAAAAAAAAAAAATGTTGAACTATTCCTTTAACTGAATGATGTGCAGAGGAATTGAAAAACACTTTGGTTAATGGGGGGGAAAAACCAAAAATGTATATATGTATGCAAACATGAAGATAAAACTGACAACTTATAGTCCATAGTTATTAAAAAATAAATAAATAAATCTGTGCAGCACAAAGTGTCAAAGTGCAGGCTCTCTCACCTGCTCGGTGCCAGCCAAAGGTCATGGTGTGTGTCTCGGGCCTGGATGATACTCACAGAGAGAAAATGCTTATCATGATGCTTCCAAATCGGTCACAAGGTGAACCGTGTCTGTCATGATGGCCAGACTGTGAGCAGCGTATCCACCTGCAGAGGAGAGGAACAAGGTATGTGTGTGTTTGTGAACTGAAAGAAGAGCATTGTTAGGACAGAGCCAGACTCTGCATGAGTAAAGACCAAGTGCCTTACAGGCATTTTATCTCCACAGTTAATATGTACAGTTTACTGTGTTATGAGAGTTCAGACAGGCATACATGTAAATTGCAACTGGCAGAGGTAATTCTAGTTTTTTTTTTTTTTTTTT